AGATATACAGGCTTTGCAGTGTGATTTCACACTTGATATAAGGCAGTTTATCATTTCCTGTGGCAATTGGCTTAAATTGCCTGTGGCAATTTTATACTTTCTGGATCCAACGACGGTTACGCATGATTTTACTTTTGTGTATTACAATTGTTGAATGGTTATTTGTTTTGTATTGTATCAATATATGTACAGATCAAATTTCATCAGAATCGATCCAGCAGTTCTAGAGATAATCGACCAAGTCTGCAAATTCTCTTATACTTCTGTTGCAATGGTTATACTTCCATTGTCACCTCGTATTTTTAAATCTGCTATCCAGACAAAGACATTTTTTGTGTTTTCAGGTGAATGTTGGGTTATACCTCCATTGTCACTTCGTATTTTTAAATCTGCTACCCAAAGAATGGCACATTTCGTTGTGTTTTCAGGTAGACGTTGGGTTATACTTCCATTGTCACTTCGTATTTTTAAATCTGCTACCCAAACAAAGACATTTTTTGTGTTTTCAGGTGGATGTTGGGTTATACCTCCATTGTCACTTCGTATTTTTAAATCTGCTACCCAAAGAATGGCACATTTTGTTGTGTTTTCAGGTAGACGTTGGGTTATACTTCCATTGTCACTTCGTATTTTTAAATCTGCTACCCAAACAAAGGCATTTTTTGTGTTTTCAGGTAGATGTTGGGTTATACTTCCATTGTCACCTCATATTTTTAAATCTATGTATGTATTGCAGATTCTTAAGAAAAGTATTTTGAAGGCAGTTTCCAACAATAAGAAATGGTTTTAGCAGATATTTACAGCTTTATCAAAAGTAACGGTAAGTATTATTCTTCAATGCATAATTAAGTTATTATTTATTTACATCAGGCAAAAGCTTGCTTAAAAAAATTAGTGAAATTTATGCTCTGCAGTTCATTTATTTTTCCGTTGTTTAAATTATATTATTTTTCTTTTTAGAAAACTTACGAGAAACTAAACATTTAATTAAACATCCTATATACGGAGTTTATATAATAATCACGTACCTATTTCTGGTGAAACTGATTATTCCGAAGATAATGAAGGAAAGAAAACCTTATGACATGAGATGGGTTGTAGTGACATACAATTTACTGCTATCTATTTTGAATGGAATTGTAGCCTTTTATGTAAGAGCTTATTTTGATTTTATTTTTAATCGTTTTACTACAATGTAGTTCTTTGATAAAGAAAATAATCACGTTGTTTCAGATAATTTATTTTTTAAACTATCAATTCGGTGATGTCATCCCATGCTCATTTTCCTTGAGCTTTCCTGACGTAATGAATCAAAAATAAATACTTCTTTTAGAGCGTGAAATAAAATATGATTTTTTTTTCTTTTCTTTCTTTTTTTATGGCTGAAAACTGAAAAAAAAACTTTACTGGTATCATCATTTAAAGTAATTAAAATAAAAACACCTTCAGTTTAAATAATAACAATGCCCGATCAATCCTAAATCTATGTGAAAAAACAAATTTTCCTACGTGCTTTTCGAACAGATTGAACGAAATTTTGAAAAGACGTGTAGGA